GAAAGAGAAAATTCTAAATATCACGAAACGAAAAATATATGACTTGAGCCGCTTGGATACATTTTAAAAATATTTTTTCATCGTACAGTAAAATATTTCACAAAAACACTCGCTCTTATAATATACCTCTTTTCTACGAAAAGATCGACGCAACGCAAAATAAGCGATAAATTAAATTTCCTCTGATTTTTCACTTACACCACTTTCGTAATCACCAGCACAATTATACTCCAACTAAATTTACTTCAGAGTTCACGACGATCGTATCAGAAGGTTCCTATTCCAAAGATCCGAGGAGAAGTCAGGTCTCGGTGCGTGCATGGATTATGGAGCGGTTTCTCCGAGGGTCTATTGGTCGAATTGGCGGGCGGAAAAAAAACAGAACGGGAATGCAGGAGATACGACGTCGAAAAGCAGGAAGAATAAGATAGAAAGAGAGAAAGACCGAGGCTCCTGTGGATCGTCACGCGATCTCTCCCGAAGAAAAGAGAAAGGAAACTTCTCGTTAGTTTCGACAATCATCGCGAATTAACCAGGCTCTAATTTTTCGAACAAGGGATCGTGTTACGAAATCATCGCTCAGCGTGATATTTTCTTTTTCAAACGTATTTACCTACTGTCGATATTTTCCTCTACTTTTTTTCTTCTCGCTAAATTCGTGCTGTTTGAATATTATTATTTCCGCGCCAATTGTGTCGCATATCTTCATATTTAATTTTTTAATCCCTGTGCTATTGTTGTTGTTTTCTTATTTATTTAGCACGATAATCTATTCTGATTTTTACAACAACGATTCCAATGTAAATTTCACGCAAAAATTGATTTTCAGGAAAAACTGTGTTAAATCAAAAAATAATAATAATGTAAGAAACTGGTATTAATAATATCGAGAATATTGTTACCTAAGAACTTGTAAGAAACTGGTATTAATAATATCGAGAATATTGTTACCTAAGAACTTTATTTTTCAGTTTAATTTTGACTGAAACGAATTTTAAATATTTCTAACTTTCGATAAATTCTGTAATTATTTCTAACTATTCTTAATAATTTTTCTGGTATGTGAATATTAGAAAAGTACAAGAGTATAGTATTTCAGGTGATACTGTTTAGAGTACAAAGTAGATAATGCACAGGAGCAATAAAGTTGGAAAATTATGTTATCATAGTATCAAATTAATTCCAACCTATCAGTTTGCATGTTTTACACTTCGTACATATTTGTCTTTGTACACTTATTTTAAAGAACACAAGTTTAACAATGCTTTAAC